TTTAGGATCCTGTGACTATCCTGTTTCCCATCAACATTTCACCCCCAGGGATTTGGCATCACTTGGTGTTTTAGTCTAAGTAAATCATCACCCTGGAAACGGCAACGTGGTGATTTTCTAGTTGCCGTTATCCTAATTCCTGCGACATGTATGGACTGACTTCTTCCATGAGGAATTCTGTTTTCTTTTCAGATGTTTCCTTTCATGTCACACATAAAGATAAGATAATAAGCCTTTCCTGAGGTTACTTCTGACCCCCCTTGTGGTTCCGATAATCGATTAGCCAGTACATGCCCAGCACTGGCTCTGGGGCCAGAGCTGAACTAGATGCTGCGAGGGGCACAAATGTAGGACGGTTCCCCTTTCCAAGAGTTTAGCACAGGAAGATAATCCAGCCTTGCAGGGATGCCTGCGAAAGAGTTTTGTGGGTCAGCACAAGAAACACCAAGATCTGATGCTAAAATTATGAGTTGTCTGTGCTGTTGGGTCCGTGGGTTTTATAAGAACCTCAAAAAGGACTGGGGATCCTTCCCTACCCACAGAGAGTTAACGACTGAGAGAAATTGGTTGGAGGGCTGGAGTCATGAACCAGATGGAAGAAATAAAGTGGACTCTCTGGCTTCAGTGTGGTTCCTTCTGCCTGGTTTGGAGACGCTGTTCCTTTAAGTCCTCAGGATCATGGGCACAGGCAGTGGAGATCTCCATCTCCTACCTGGGAGAAGACTGGGAACGGTGCTGCCAGGACCCGGAGCTCCCTTGGGCACTGAGCATGTGTCACTTTCTCTGTGCTGTTGATGGTGTTTGATGGTCTGGCCTGGGTGGGCCTGCAAAGCCCTTCCATGCCCATGGCCCATCTGATCAGTGAGGCTGGCAGAGCAGGATTGATGCCCAGAAGATTCTGCAGAGGGAGGTGGTGGACAGAGGGAGGTGGCGGGGCACAGGTCACATCGGGTGTGGCCGATGTCAGAGCCAAGTTTCCCGATCCTGCCTTCTGCAGCTCAACCTGCTGTTACCCTGGTGGCACCTGAGGGCCCCGCCTCCCGTGGTGGAGTCAATTGTGGTCTTTAGTGTGTGCTGTTGGCCGAGGCCTGTTTCTAATTGTAGGGTCCCCCTGGGGGAGGCCGGTGTGCTAGTTTTGGACATTCTTCAGACTTCCGCTCAGGCTGTGACACTGTCCTCATCTGCAGAATGCTCCCACCTCCCCCACAGGCACTTCTAGGGCAAAGGCATGACGGCAACTTTCAGGGCTGATGATCATCCTGAACACGATTCTGAGAATCACGTGCTTGGTTTTCTGGAGCAGCACAGACTGGTGAGCAGCGAAATTAATTCAATCTCTGATTTTATTATATGAAATATATATTACCAATACATCCAAAATATGATCATTTTGGCATGTGATCAATATAAAAACTATTAATTAGGTATCTTACCTTTTTTTTTTTAAAAGATTTATTTATTTATTTGTACAAGAACCAGGGTACGGGCTAGAAGTGCGGGAGGGTGAGAGGATTCACCAGAGACAGAGTGGGGAGCAGAGCAGGCAGACTGACAAAATACTCTGCTGAGGGGAGCAGTGGGAGAGACAGGAGAGGTCTGCTCGCAATGTGGGAACCTCGCCTGCCAGCCGGGATTGAACCGGCGCTGCAGAGGCTGTGGACAGCTTCAGAGCGCTGCGCTCAAACGCCTGCGCCACCAGGGAGGCCCTAATTAGGTATCTTGCCTTTTATTACATCATCTTTACAATTCAATGTGGATTTTCTACCTACTTCACATCTCAGAATCAGAACTAGTCAGAACATCTGATGTGCCTAAGTGGCTGGTGGCTACTGTATTGGAAAGTAGGGGTCTAGAAAGTTCTTCCAGGGGAAAAAAAGAGAAGAAAAAGCTCTTTCCCCCTACTGAGCATGGAGAATGAATTGGGCAAAGATTGTCATCAGCCACGACCCGTCATCACAGAGAGCTCCTTTGCATCACAGCAAATTTAGAAAAACTTCCTTCTGGTGACCTAGCAGCTTCTAGAACTTGATGCCAATAGCAACATGTTGGTTGGGATCATCTGAGCCCACAGGTAGAGGAAATAGCAGGTGACCAAGAGGGGGCTGTAAGGCATGTGTGCTCAAAAAGTGTGTTTATTTAGGGCCTCCCTGGTGGTGCAGCGGTTGAGCGCTGGGCTGCGAAGCTGCCGGCAGCCTCTGCAGCACTGGTTCGATCCCCGGCCGCAGGCGAGGATCCCACATGGCGCGCAGACCTCTCCTGCCGCCTGCTGCTCCCCTCAGCAGTGTACCTTTGTCCTTCTGCCTGTTCTGCTCTCTGCTCTGGCTCTGGTGAATTCTCTCGCCCTCCCGCGCTTCTGACTGTACCCAGTGCTTGTATAAATAAATAAATAAATACAAAAAAAAAAAGTGTGCTTATTTAGCTGACGCCTATTGAAATACTTTTCAACAAGCTTTCCCTGCAGGTGTAGCCTAAAACATGCAGACAGGTGAGTGGAGCCTGCTGGATGCAGGTGGCAGGGAACACATGCATGGGTAAAATACGCCCTGCCTCCAACGGCCTGGGCGGGGAGGCCATGGGTGCAGCAGGAGGGAGTGGGTGTCCACTGCACGCGAGGAGGAAAATCACCCACCCAGCTCTCAAACACCAGGACCTTCTCTGCAAACGCACCGACTGCTGCACCGTGCCTGGAGTGACAAGCACAGGAGAAGTTACCCTTTGGTGTTTACTGAATTTGTTTGAAGAGCCTAAATTCCTTTCAAAATGGAATAGATTGTTTTCATGAGGGGGGAAGGAAGAGGTCAAATGGGGAAAGGAGTGGACCCCTTTGCTGTGACCGGCGGGTGCTGGTGGCTGGCGCGGTGGCCTGAAGCAATAGGTGGAGACGCCGGTGCCCAGGGCCCGGGAGGGCGCTGCGAGGACAGGCACCCAAGCTTGGCTGCAGAGGACTGCCCGGTGCCTGGGCTGGCAGGAAAGGCCAAAACCAGCAGGAGGTGCCCGGTCCATTTGCTCCTGGGAGGTGGCGGGTAGCAGCCGAGGTCAGGGTTCCCGAGGCAGACGCCCGCCACGGTGAGGCTTCAGGGCAGTCACTTAACCTCTGCGCCTCAGTTTTCTCATGAACGTTCATGGATAGGGCTGACCAGGCGCGCACGGGAATGTCACCAGCGAGACTCATGCGCCCGCGCGCACCGGCAAACGCCAGCCGGGTCAGCCGCGCCGAGTTACGGTTCCAGCGGCGACGCCCGACTCGTGCCAAGCGGCTCTGACAGAAGCAGATTCGTTCTAAAGTTCTAAGTCCTCAGGTCGGTTCTAAGTCCTCAAAAGGGGGGCAAAGAGCTGAAAACGACCCGCCCCAGGGCTCGGAGGCTGCTCCCAGGACTGGGGGGGAAGCGGTTTTTCCAGCCGTGGCGTCGGATTTCCCGACGGGGACGGAGGCACTTGGGGGCGCGGCCCTCCCGGCGGCTCCTGGCACCTCGGACTCGCCGCGGGTGCGCGCCCCGGGGGCAGACCCGGGCCCGGCCGGGGAGGACCCCGTGGGGGGGGGCGCGGCCGGCTCCGGAGCCCGCGTCCCGGGGCTGATGCGCCCGAGCGCGGGAGGCTGGGCCCCCGGGGCGCGTCCCGGGCCGGGTCGGGCCGGGTGACCCTCGCGCCGCAGCCCCGCGGCCCCCGCCCCGGAGCCGCTCGCAGCCCGGCCAGGGCGCCGCGGGGCCGAGGCCGAGACTGACCCCCACCCCGCTCCGCGCGCCCCGGGACGCGCTCCCGGCCGCCGCCGCTCCCGCCCGCGGTCACCGCTTAGGACGCCTCGGGGCGCGGAGCAGGGGCGCCCGGGAGCAGGGGGGGCCGGGAGCAGGGGGGTCCCGGAGCAGGGGGGCCGGAGCAGGGGGGCCCGGTGCAGGGGGGTCCCGGAGCAGGGGGTCCCGGAGCAGGGGGACCCGGAGCACGGGGGTCCCGGAGCAGGGGGGCCCGGTGCAGGGGGGTCCCGGAGCAGGTGGGTCCCGGAGCAGGGGGGCCCGGAGCACGGGGTCCCGGAGCAGGGGCGCCCGGGAGCAGGGGGGCCGGGAGCAGGGGGGTCCCGGAGCAGGGGCGCCCGGGAGCAGGGGGGGCCGGGAGCAGGGGGGTCCCGGAGCAGGGGCGCCCGGGAGCAGGGGGGCCGGTGCAGGAGGGTCCCGGAGCAGGGGCGCCCGGTGCAGGGGGTTCCCGGAGCAGGAGGGTCCCGGAGCAGGGGCGCGCGGGAGCCGGGGGGGCCAGGAGCAGGGGGGGCGCGGAGCAGGGGGGCCGGAACAGGGCGGGCCCAGATGGGGGCGCGCGGAGCAGGGCGCGGGCCACGGCCGAGGTCGCGCCTCGCGTGTTTCCTGGCCCGGCGGGCGCCAGCGGACACCACGCGCCCGCGCCCGCGCCCCCGCACCCCGCTTCGGGGCCGACGCGCACGGGCGGGACAGGGGCAGCCGCGGCCGCCTCGCGCCTCCTCCGCGGGCGCCGGGGTGGCCGTGGGGCGCCCGGGGTTTCTGAGGTTCTGGGCTCGGGGAGTCGGGGCGGGGGGGCGCGGGCAGAAACTTCCCAGGGCAGACCCGCCCGCCCGCCCGCCCCCGGCCACACCCCGACCTGCCAGAGGCCGGCGGCACCGGCACGCGCCCGCGGGGTGAGGGGCGCCCCCGGGGACCCGCGCCCCGCGCCCCGCACCGAGCGCCTGGGGGGCGCCGAAGCCCCGCCCCGCCCCGCCCCGCCCCGCCCCGCCCCGCGAGTCCTCGGGGGCCGGTCCGGCGCCCGCGGCATCCTGGGACTTGTAGTCCCGCCGCGCGGCCCCGGGCGCCGCCGACCCCGCGCCGGACTACATTGCCCAGGGGGCGCCCCGGCCTATATAAGCGGCCGGCGCCGCTGCCAGGAGCAGTGACCATGTGGCCGCGCTGCTGAGCGCTCGGCGCGCGGGGGAGGCGGGCGCGGGCGGAGGCGCTGCCGGAGCTGCGGGTTCCGCCGCCGCCTAACGGAGCCGCGCGCTGCCGGCATGGGCTGGCCCGGCGGCCGCTGACCCGCCCGGCGCGCGCAGGTAGCGGGGCGCGGGCGGGGCGCCGGGCTGCCGGCGCGCGGGGAGTCGCGGGGAGTCGCGGGGGCTGCGCAGCCCGCGCCGTCTGGGGCTCCTTCGCTGGGGCTTTTCTGGGGGTCGCTTGAGGTGGAAGCAGGGGTCTGGCCCCCCGTGGAGGCTGCGGGCGCTGGCCGGGCGCGTCCCTCCCCCGGGCGGGAAACTCTTGCAGCAGCTGCAGGAAACCCGGCTCTTATTTTTTCGGGGGGCGGGGGCTCGCGCGGGGTGCCCTGCGCGAGGGCGCTGCAGGAAACACTTTCTCACACGTGCAGCCCTCGGGGAACTCGCGGGCGCGGGGGCCTGCGGCGGGGCCGTGGGCCGGGCTGGGGACGCGGAGGAAGCGGGGCGCGGCGAGGGGCGCCCCTGCGGATGCGGCTCCGCGGGGGCCGCGGCTCCGGGGGGCAAGTGCAGGGGCATCTGCCAAGCCCTGCCCTGGAGCCGCAGCCCCCGCGCCGCCAGGGCCCCGCGCCCTGGCGCTGTCAGTGGCCCGCCTGTGATCCTCGCCCAGGTGACACCCCAAGCCGCGGGGAATACGGGGGGGCGGGGGGGGGCGTAGCTGAGGAGGGTGGGACGCGAGCCGCCCTGTCAGAGCCCCGCCGGCAGCCTCTGACTTTCTTCTTTCTCAACCCGCAGGAGCTGACTCCAGAGGCGCAGGACTGACACCCCTGGCTGCACCTGCTTTGGCAACAGAGTACCTGACTCAGGTCAGGTGAGTGTGCAAACCCGAGGTTGTCCTCGCTGCTGTGAGCCGTCTCCGAAGAGCCCTTGGAGACAGGGGGCAGGAAAGGAAACTCCCTGGCTGAGTGTCCACAGTTTGTCTCTGCCCGGGGAGCGCCTTGGGAGGCCGGGGGAGCCAGGGGGCGTCCCTCTGCTCTGGGCCAGGGCTCAGCCCTGGAGCAGCCTGAAGGGCTGTGAGAAGAGGGAAAAGCCCTTCCATGGAGCAGTAACAGGGATGCCCGTTGGCGGCCCTGGAACCAAACTTGCCAGACAGTGCGCTGATGCCCAGTTCTGAAGGGTGCAGAGCGTTTCACCTGCCAAGACGCGTAAGCAGGGATGAGCCGCCTCTGTCGGTCACAGAGTCACTTTCTTTTTGCTCGCTGGGAGCGTGTGTTCAATCAGAGTAGGTTGGAATGCAAGAAATGAAAGCGGTTGCTGGCAGATTGAGAGTTAGAACTTGAAAAAGGGAAGTTGGTCTTTGAAGCCTGAGATAGTGGTGGGCAGTCCTTGACACCTACCTGGTCCTCACAGCATCTGTGGGGCTCCTGTTGTCTTGGAGCCTGCCGTGGGTGAGGAGCGAGGGCAGCGTTTATCTGTACTCAAGCAGCTCCTGTTTTCATTTTTTTTTTTTTCCCCAAAATGGTCAGACTTGCAGAGAGGGAGCTTTCCATGAGTGCATGGACATCCCCATTGCTTGTAGATTTGGCATCGAAAGCTTTTGCTTCCAGAATGGTGAAGAGCAGGGTAAACAAGGGGTGATGGGGGTGGGGTGCAGGGACTTGATAACTTCTTGAACGTTCTAAATATTTGGCTGTTCCCTGGGCTACAATCTTTGGGCTTTTCTAATTAGAAAATAAAAGCCAGACCCTTCATTATGGTAGTAGAGTGCTCTTGTTTCCTGCTGATAAGATCCTCAGGCGTGCTGGGGCGGGGTGGGGGTTGGGGGGGGCCTTGGATGTGTGAGATCTAGGTCCTTCTCGGAGCTCTGTTGACTCTTGAGACTACGTGGGCACTCCCTAGGCCAAGGTCAAGGATTGACTTCACAGCTTCTGGCTCACAGACTCTTCAAATAGTTGCTGAAAAATAACACTGACCCATTCAGTGCAGAGGCAAACCAGGTCTAGGGCTAGCATCATGGCAACAGGCGGCGAAGCCGAGGGCCAGGGGTGAAGCCACTCACACAGTGGCCATGCGGTGGCCACAGCATGGACCCCGAAGCAGTGGGGCTGCACTCTGTCGGTGTCCCAAGATGCCGGGAAGTTGGGGGTGGGGGCGAGCCGGAGTGGGAAAGTGATAAGCCTGTGGCTGTTGATGAACCTTGGCTCTGGCTTCTGTCCCACCAATGGTGAATGAAAGATACTTCCCTGATGTGAGAAGGAAAGGATGTAGCCGGGGGCCGGGGGTGGGTATTTCAGGAGGCAGTGGATGGAGTTTGTTTGGGAAAGCTGCGTGCTGCAGGCGGGGTGAGCAGAGAAAGCAAAGTGAAAGACAGCAGGGCCCATGAAACCAGGCAGGACTGTCGGTGGCAGCATTAGGCTCAGCTTGTGCCTCAAACGTCTTGATCAGCTGCACCTAGACCTGGGAGCCGGTTAAAAGAATCGGGTGTTTCTCCTTCTGAATGATTTCAAAGTTTAAATGGCAGTGAGTGCTGCAGCTGTGAGCTCTGCAGTGCCGCTGCTTCTCACATACCCTGCAGTTTACTTTGTGGCTAGTTTGCAGGACACTTTCCTTTTTCGTGTGTGTGTGTGTGTGTGTGTGTGTGTGTGTGTGATCACATGATAGAGAGAGAGTTAGGGGAGAGAGTGTCGAAAGTACAATCTGCTTTTTGAATCATCCCCATCAGAACAGAATATTTTGCCAAGACCTCCTTAACAGGCCAGGGGAGTTCTTCATGCCCTAAGTGACTTGCTCCTGCCCTCCACATGGACCCCTGCGAGTGTGTGGCGCTGCTGAGCCCATCTAATGAAGCGGCTGCCTTTTGCGGGGATTGGCATCTTGTCTTAGTGAGTGAGGGGGAAATGGTTGCGTGGAGGAGAATAGATGGACTCCACGAGCCAGCTCCTCTTTCCTCAAAATAGATGAACCCAACAGAGAAAGGAGGAGAAAGTGGGAGGAAGAGAAAAGACACTTTGAATCCAAAGGTCTAGAACCAGCTGACTTCCAGAGCAAAAGTCTTGTGGCTTTTTGGCTCCTCTGGATGGTCTCCTGGGAACTCTGAACCCCTCACAGGCAGCTCTAAAAAAAAAACAAAAAACCAAACCACAACTAGACAAGAAACACCAAGAATGAACAACAACAGGTACGGAGACAGAGAAAGTAGGCAGAGAAAGTAGGACAGGAGTTGGGTTTCTGGGCCGAGCTGTCCTTGGGTATGTCTAATTAAGGAGCCTCCCGAGGCTGGCGGCCTGTCTCGTTGGCTGTTGGCTGGATCTTGTAAAACAACACGCAGCCCAGGCTCTCCAGGAACCGGACGCGCATGCCATTTCTTAGCTTTTACTGTTGGAAGTTTTTGCGTGGCTCTTCCAACACAGTCCCTCTAACTCGAAGTCAGTGGCTAGAATGACATCATTTCTGTGACTCCTACCCATTGTCACCCTGTCTGTGGCCCTGAGGTCGTTGCCGGTGAGGACGAGCTGAGTGTCGGGCTGAAAGCAGCACCTGTCGAGCTGACCCTTGTGTTGAACTGCGCCCACTTACACTGAACGTGGTTTGGGTGATAAATCTGTTCAAGACGTCCTAGTGCCTGTGGATGTTGTGAGGGCTCACTGTTTATTTCAGCCTCCAGCACATTCCCTGGGCGCCTGCTGGGGCCCAGGGCCTGGGGCCATGGCAGTCCTCTTGGAAAGATTCTTAAAGCCTAGTGTGTGTGTGGGGCGGGGGGAGGGGGGACGGGGAGGAGCAGGCATTATAACTTAGGAGGTAGCATGGTATGAAGGGGAGTAAGTGCTATGGGGGAAGAGAAGGCAGAGGAAGGGAAACAGAAAGTAGCACGTATCGGCCAGGACGGGGAGGAACTGGACCCCTTGTGCGCTGCAGCTGGGAATGCGAAACGACGCGGCTGTGGTGGAAGACAGCCTGCTGCTTCCTCAAAGCACGTAACGCAGGGTCACCACATAACCCAGCACGGGACAGGTGTGGACGCCCATCTTCACAGCAGCGTTGTTGACTCAGATTTGTCCCGGTGGGTGAATGGGCAAACAACACGTGGTCTAACCATGCGACGGAATATTACTCAGCCTTAAAAAAGTGAAATTCTGCTACATGCCACCACACAGACTCCCCTTGAAAACTTTCTAAATGCAATAAGCCAGACACAGGTGAACAGAGTGTGCCTCCACCGATGCCAGGCATGGAGAGCACCCAGTGCATCTGCCAGAGGGGAGGAGTAGGTGCTAGGGGAAGGGGAGCAGGGCATGGGGTGCTCGATCAGTGGGAGAGTCCTGGCGGTGGAGGCCGGTGATGGCTGCGTGGCAGTGTGAGGTGCTTAATGCCACTGAGTGGGCCAAGTGAAGGTGGCCGCAGTGGTGAGTTTCGGGAAGCACGTGTATTTTGGCATAGTCAAGCAAGCGAGAGCAGTCACAGCTACAGACCAGCGTAAAGAGGGTAGAGGAGCAGTAACAGGGCTTGGGGGCCAGAGACGGACTCCTCGGTATGCAGATGCTTGGGCAGAGATCTGGTGAGGTGGCAGGTGGGAGGGAGGTGACTGGCGGGTGTGTGTGTGCAGCGGGTCCGAGGCCAGGAAGCTCGACGGGTCCAGCTGGGACAGTGTGTCGTGTCAAAGCATGCAGTGGCCAGGTGCTGCAGGTAAACAAGGGTTTATTTCCCCAAGGATTGCAGACCTCTCAGAATTTTCGGTGTGGTTCTCCACCTGACCGAACACCATCCTTTCTGAAGAGTGAACTCTGGGGAGGCTGACGAGAGCACATACCAGATTGGAACTTGATAGGGGTGAGACTCAGATTTCTTGACTGGCTGGTTAATCACCTGATATACCTGGGATTGAAATTCAGCTCAGTAGCAAAGGAGTCTTTTCAACCTGCCCTTGGTTCAGACAACAAGTGCCAGCTAAGCGCCTACGCGTTCTCCTGGGGTTTATCTTCGACTCAGACCTCTGCGCCCACCAGCCTGCAGCCCGTCCAGCCCATTCCACAGGAATCGCAGGAGCAGGACCCGGTCAGCTGTTCAGCCTCCGCCAGGGGATACGTGAAGCCTCCGATGGCTGATTCTCCCCGGGAGGGAAGTCAGGTTCAGACTTAGGACAAACATATATTGGGCTGTTTGCTGCTCATTTTAGTGAAAGTTGGAGGGGGGCAAAGAGAAGCAGCAGAGCCACCAGGCACCCCCAACCCCACCATCCACGATTAGGGGTTTTGTTTCTGTTTATAGAACTAAAAGGTGGGTGTATATTCAAACTTCACAAGGGCCGGTCCAGCTCTTTGGACCCTGCCTTTTGACTGCATATCTGCACACATGTTCTTATCAATAAGCACACACACGGCTGTGGCTTTTGCAAAGCACCTTCCCTTCCATGGGGCTTTTTCATTTGCGTGATGGCCTGGGTGGAGTCCGTTGGGTAAAAGAGCCAGACTTCATCACCATCGGAATCCTGGCTTTCTCACACGGTGTATATTGTTTTTTAAGATAACCGAATGGAGGGCCTCCCCTGGTGGTGCAGGCGGTTGAGCGCAGCTCTGTGAAGCTGTCCGTAGCCTCTGCAGCGCGGGTTCAATCCCGGCCGGAGAATCCCATGTGGTGCAGCAGACCTCTCCTGTCTCGCCTGCTGCTGCCCTCAGCAGTGTATTTCTGTCAGTCTGCCTGTTCTGTTCCCTGCTCTGTCTCCGGTGAATCCTCTCATCCTCCCGTGCCTCTGGCCTGTACCCCGATTCTTGAATGAATAAATCTTTTAAAAAAAAAATAAGATGACTGAATGGAAGGTAAAGCCTTATCTTAGTGCTACCTGCCCTAGTACAGGGAGGAAGCCTGGCAGTCAGT